TGGAACATATTGTTACACGAGCATTTAGCAAATGACGGTTTTGTCAGAAACCATGCTGATCACTGTGTATATAAGAAACAAGTTGATGATAAAATTGTTATCGTCATTGTTTGGGTTGATGACCTAATTATAGCTTCAGATAGTATGCAGTTAATGGAAGAATTTAAAGAAAGTATGAAGACACAATTTAAGATGAAAGATCTAGGTAGAATCACTTTCTTCCTTGGAATGGATTTTAAGCAAAGCAAGGGTGAAATAAAAATTAATCAGAAAAGATTCATTCTAAAAATACTAGAGAGATTTGGAATGATAGACTGCAAGCCCAGGTTAACCCCATGTGAGCAACGATTAGAATTTAACTGTGGTGAATTGACCAACGCCAGACAGTATAGAGAAATGATAGGAAGCCTAATTTATGCCATGACCTGTACAAGGCCGGATTTAAGTTGGATTGTAAGCAGACTGTCTCAAACTCTGTCAAACCCCAGAACGGGAGATTTAATTGCTGCCAAACATGTCCTAAGGTATCTAAAGGGTACCGTGGATTATGAACTCTGCTTTAAGAAATCTGATGCCGACTTGCAGCTCACTGCTTATAGTGATTCAAATTGGGCCTCTTGCCTGGAAGACAGGCGAAGTACTACAGGTTACTGTTGTCCTCTAACTGAAGGAGGACCACTGATTTCATGGAAGTCGAGAAAGCAACCAACGGTTGCCATTTCCACTTGCGAAGCTGAATATGTAGCTTTAGCAAATACAGCTCAAGAGTGTTTGTATCTAACTCAATTGTTAAACGGTATGTATAAGAAAGTACATCAGAGAATGAAGGTAAGTGTTGATAACCAAGGGGCAATTGCACTAAGTAAGAACCCAGTTAACAGACAACGTTCTAAGCATATTGACATAAAGTACCACTTTGTACGTGAAATGTATGTTAAAGGCATGATCGATATTGTATATTGTCCTACCCAAGATATGGTAGCTGATATCCTAACAAAGCCACCCACAAAATGTAAACTAGATAATTTTAAAAGTATCGTGTTCGGTTGTTGTAATTAGTTTATATTCTGATAACAAGTGAGGGTGTTGAGTTCAATATAAAACTGTATGTTATCCAAATATTAGTATGACGTAATACTGAGAGACAAATGCATGATGGGATTGTTGTGTTGTTAGTTGAACTTCCTCGTGAAAGCAACTTACCGTACAAAACTACATTTGTAATAAACGTGAAAATAAAGAGTGATTTCATTACAAATACGGTGTTCTAAAGTCATGGCTTCAACAGAAACTATATTAGGCCATCAGTATCCAGGGGGGGGGGGGAGGGGGGGGGAGGTAAGGAAATAACTGTGTAACAAAGCTGTAATAATAATTTTTCAATTATAAGATCATTGGCAGGCTATAAATTAGCTACTAGCTACATAAGTACATAATGCATGAAATTTAAGACAAAGGATGGTCGTATATATGTTAGCAACCTAATTCGCTTAAATAACGAATGTTGGAAATTGATTCTTAACATACCGGCTGTTCTTGACCGCAAGCAGCGCACTTAAGCTGTTTCGCGTCATGTGACTCAAGCTTCCTCCTGCCACACGTAGTTTGGTTGTTATGGCAACGGTGACATGGCCAAAACTTGGTACAACATTCAAATTTGACGTAACAACGTCGTTTGTAATGAGTGCATAACCATTGGTTTTCGTCATCCGCATCAGGTGGTTGGAATTTTGACAACTTCTGTCCATTGCTACCGGGATTTGAATTACGTGAAGTATTAACTTGATCGCCACGTACTGTTGAACCGCTGGCCTGAACTGTGGGAGACGAAATTCATAGACTTAATAAATACACTACACAATATACGAACAGACAAATAACATCATGTTTATGAGAGCATCGTGTTTATCTAAACATCGCTTTAGATGAATACGGTTTCCTAGAAGACTAGAACTACACCGCGTTCATCGCTAAACCCCGAAGTCTAAAGACAATTATTTAACCTACCTTCAACATCCTCCCATCTTGCACCATCAGTGACTACCACACCTTGTGAAGTAGTACTTCTGATTAAAGTTTCCTTGCCAGATGACTTTGACGTACGGTGGCAAAGGATGAGGTCTGCGTGTATCCGAGCCAGGACCATTTCGAGCAACAGATCGCTGGCTAGCGTGTTGTGTGGAACTCGATGTACCCGCAGTATCTCCGATCTCCCTTGAGTTTGCCCGTGATCTCTGAAATTGCCCTTGAAAACCTGGTACAGTACCCTATGACTGGTCTGCTGAATCAGTGAAATGCCCTCTGGCTGTTGAACGCGATGGCCATTTTGCTGATGGTAGATGACCAAACCGCTGAGAGGCCAGTGCATTCTGTGCGTTCCCTCCTTGACTAAATGATCTTTCACTAGGCTTGGGAATCTTTAGCTGTGAGTACTCTCCAAGAAGATAACTCTCAATAAGATGCACCAAATCAAATCTTAAGTTATCTTCAAAGAATTTTTTCAGTCGACTCAGATCTGTAATTGTAATGATTTTCTTACGATCTAGTTCCAGGAGAATTGCGTTCACACTTCCAGAAGTGTCGATTTGAAATTGACTTTCCACCCATTGTTTTAGTTCGCGGACATCTTCCGTCAGGAGGTCGTGAGATATTCGCAGTAACAAGAGTTTATAGTTGTTATAGATACATCCATCTACAGCGGTATGTAGTATATCAGTTAGACTTGCCGTTTCGTTAAGTGACTCTTGCCCATGACGATTTTCGACTTGATTATGTTCCACCTCTGTCGCTTGATCACTCGATACCCTTGAATCTAAGGATTCTGAAATCTCTGACGTCTGAGTTGACGCTGAACGAAACTTGTACGTTTTATGAAAAAGCTCATCTCTTTTCTTTTCATTCTGTACTCTCGTTAACTCCACATTTAAACGGCCAAGTTCTAAAAACGTTTCTTCCATCTCAGCTTCCTTCTTTGCCAAAGTCATCGCCATTTTTTCTTTCTCTTCTCTCAACTCATTAATTTTCAACTGCGAAAGTGTTCTTTCCGTTTCGATCTCGTGGGACAATGTTGCAATTACCCTCTTCAATTTTACGTTTTCCACTTCAAGACGTTCTAGTTCCGAGCTTTGCTTCTGTGCGCTTTGATAAGAGGATGAATCAGAGGCAAGGCAATTTTCGAATTGAGACAGTGAGTTCTGACTACCGTTTGATGCTGAGATATACGCTTGTGTAAGTTGCTCTAGTGATACATCAGAAGGTGTGTTGTGGTAATAAGAATCAGTGGCCAGTATGTCATTTCCACTCGTTCGGAATACAGGATACTCATCAGGACTTTTGCTTGTTGTCGTTTCGTTAGTTTGATGTTTTTCTCCTGCACCTCTCGAGAGTTTTTCAGGCTCATTCAGTATACACAAACAAAGCTTTTTGACCAGAAGACTAATGATTTTCGACACTGTTTCGACATTAGATGATTTGGAAGTTGAAAAGCTGAAATGTTCATCCAAATTTGCGGGGTCTTGAGGAAAGATATGTAACAGTACTGGTGCTGGGTGGGTGACCAGAAAACTTAAGAAACCATTGTCGAGTTTTTGTACTTTAATATCCTGAAACCAGTTGAAATTAAGATGTCGAAGAAATGCTTCAAATCTTTCAAATTCTTCAGATGACTCAAGACAAAGTGTTAACGTGACAGAGCCTGGGTTGTTTACATCTTGTATAAGGATATTCCATTTGATATTATCATTTTTATATCGCTGGATAAAATTGGGTAGATTCCACAACTTAAACACTTTCATAAGACGTTGAAGTGTGGACTGTACTCTTGAAAATTCACCACTTTTTGAAAGATGATTGGTAATCGTTTTGCCATAATCATAAAGAACGTCCAAGCACAGATTCGTTAGGTTTTTAGGTGATGCCATTTTGTTCATACAGCGTGAAACTGAGATTGAAAATTTCGGCGTGTTAAACATGTGAAATTTTAGTGAAGATTCACTTTCAGTTTGCGCCGAGATAAAAAAAAATAGGTACGCGCTGCGTACATGTGGGTAGCCTTCATAGTTTGCTAATCGCTATTGTCAAATTCTGAATTTACTGAAAGAAAGTATTAAGTAAATTGGACACAGTTGAAATATTATACACACATTTAATCACATACAAAACATCAGATATGACAAAAATACGTAAACAACTGTTATGCATGTGCATTTTTCAATAAGCATAAACAGATCTAAGAAGTTTAGTTACAAAGTATTAATGTGTCAAAAATAATTTGCTCACAAGGTCTTATATGTATACGAAACAAAATACTTCACAGGACGAAATACAGACAGTACGAACAACACTTAACACAAGAAGAGTTCTTGTGCAAGGACAGCATACATCAGGTTCAGGTTTACAGGCTACGTATACAATTTTGCACATGGTGGGTAGTGAGATGCACGACCAGAAATCGCACACAGAAAAATGACCATGTCGCTGATTATTCTGCATGTGCTTGCCAATCGCTTACTGCAACAAGGTCGACGGTAGTTAGTATTTAAATTTGGCGCTATCGAGACAATTTAATATTAACATCTCATTATTCAAGGTAATAAACAATTATTAGATGAGGCTGAGCATGATATCAAGAATTATTCAGACCAAGAATTATTCCGCGCGGAGCGGAATTTTTCGTTGTTTTTTTCCAATTAGTTCCACCTGAATCTGAATAATTGAACAATAATAATAGTGGAATTTATGAATAATAGTGGAATTTTCTCCTTTATTTCATTGCGATAGCTTTTATAGCTTTTACGAAACATGAAATCAAACAGTGTCCAGTTTTTTTTCAGGACACCTGGTAGTTGATAATTTCTCTTTCGTTTTTATCAGATATATCACAGTTCAAGCAGTCAAAGGCAAGAATAGTGGTGTCAAGATGCTCGCCAGTCAAGGAACCGGGGGAACAGGTGAATCAAAATATCAGTTTAATGATTTTTGGTATGTGTAATAATATTCGGGTCATTTGAAGAAGAAATGTAATATAGATTTATAGTTAAAAAGCTCATCATCTTTTTCTGTCAAAGTTTCCTGGTATGATGTCATTAGATGAATTTTTTGAGTAGAAAACAAAAAAAATTTTGCAATTCACCTAAAGCCCCGTGGAGACGCGCCTAGTTTTCTTTGACAAGTAAAACTTGTCAAGGAAACTAGTCAAGGTAAAGCTGGTTACAGACGAGCAAGTTTTCTATGACAAGTTTTTATGTGACAAGTTTTATTTGCCAAATGCACGTGTGTATATGCAACAAGTTTTATATGACAATTTTTCATATGACAAGTTTTATTTACTGGTATGAACGTGTCAACAAATTTACTTTGACAATTTATTAGTAACCAGCTGGCCAATCACATCAAATGCTCAGATTACTTTGACAAGTTTTCTTTGTTGCCCCATACAGACGAACAAAATTTGTACTTTGACAATTTTTTCTATGACAATTGACCATTTGCGTAATAGACTAAATTTTGATCTAGACAAAAATTTCATCATAGCTTGAAAGAACATCACAAAATTAGTAATATTCCAAAGTTTCGTTGCGAAATGTTGTAAAATGCGGATAATATAGCCTTACGAAGTTTGCAATTTTCAGTCATTTTAGATTACAAACGGGAAATTGACAGCCCGATACGATCTAAAGTGACTGAAAATTGCAAACTTCGCAAGGCTATATTATCCGCATTTTACAACATTTCGCAACGAAACTTTGGGATATTACTAATTTTGTGCTGCTCTTTCAAGCTGCGATGAAATTTTTGTCTAGACTTGTTGAGATCAAAATTTTGTCTATTACGCAAATGGTCAATTGACAAGTGCATTTGTTTAAAAGCTAGCATGCTAGTTTTTGAACAAGTGCACTTGTCATAGAAAAAATTGTCAAAGTTGCGCGTACAGACGAGCAAATAAAACTTGTCACATGAAAACTTGTCATAGAAAACTTGCTCGTCTGTAACCGGCTTAAAAAAGTAGATCAAGACGAGGTTTTTATACTAGAAAGATATATTACTTTTTTTCCGAGAATTGATGACTCTGATATTACACAAACTTGGGATGAGTACATTGTACTTATCGTCGTCTCTTCGCCCCTTTCTATAGCTATATCATCTTTTGTGTGTTTAGGAATTATGCTATTTCTCAAAGGAGTTCGTCAAGACACTTCTGATGTCAAAATTGACTGTGGGGATAAAAGGACAGACGATAGCGAATCAACGATAAGCTAAGCATAATGGAAAAGCATTCGATTCTTAATTCATGAGTGCAAATAATGCTGATGTCGGTTCATAATTACGACTCGAATGCTTTGCCATATAAATATACGTGGGCTTTGAACAAAACAAAATAATTTTGGTTATTTCACCATGCAAACTGTAGTCAAACATACACGAAGACGCACAATGTCAATGGAACAAAATGTATTTATATTCGAACCCCTATATCAGTTGTCGCACCATATGAAGTTGGATGGAAAGCAAGACGATCGTTTGTTAATTTATCATTCAATCTTCATTCAAATTCACCAAAATTTAATCAGTTTGTCCTTGGGCTATGGCCATTAGCCCCACATTACTCCGAAATTTCGTATTAGCATCTTTAATATTTTTTGAGTTAAGGTCCATACACACCGGATGCGATTCGACAACGCGACGCGATTTTTCGATTTTCACTGAACGATAACTTTGATCCTAGTTTAAATTTTCCAAATATTTAGAAGCGGTATAATATTTTGAGTTATTTGGTCTATATTTCTTTTAAAATTTTCCCTCATTGGCTGTTTTATTAACTTTCAAAAACTCATAAATCGCGTCGCGTTGTCTAATCGCGTCCGGTGTGTCTGCATGGACCTTTAAGGCCCTTACAGACCGGACGCGATTTGGCAACGCGACGCGAATTTTCAGTTTTCAATGACATTTAACTTTAATATTTTTCAGTGTTTTTCAAATATTCGGGACCACCTAAGCAATTATATTCAGTTAGCTATTTGGTCTGCATATCTTGTAAAATTTTTACCCGTTGACGTTTTTATTTGTTTTTGAAAACTGAAAATTCGCGTCACGTTGCCGAATCGCGTTCGGTCCGTGTGGGCAATTAAGCCTGTTTTCCACTAGGCGGAATTTTGCGCACGGAGCGGAATTTTTCTTTGTCTTGTGATTTCTCGGGTGGAACTAATTAGAAAAGACAAAGAAAAATTTCGCTCCGCGCGCAAAATTCCGCCTAGTGGAAAACAGGCTTTATCCTGCTGCCAAAAAAGCACACACACGCATATATTGTATCACCACCGCACGTTATAGTTCTCAGTGAAATTTATGTATTTCACATGTATACATTTCTATAAACTTTTTGTCTTAAACCTTTTCAGTATGAATCTGTTCACGCGTTGTATGGACCAAGGTAGCTCGTTTTCTCGTTCATCTAACCTGGCCGCTACGAACTGATGTTTTATACAAATATGCGAAGGATTTTGAACAGCTTTCTTGCCGTAAACCTTTTCTAACATTGATTCGGGCTTGCTAGGACAACGTGTAGCAATTCCCGCTAACCAACAAGGCTTTGTTGGATAAACATCGCTTATTTCAAACTGTAATTTCGGTGCTCGGCTGTAAATTTCGCCTTTCGTATAGGGGTAAACATCTATAAAGTTTACATCGCCCAATATAACGCGAGCGGCTGGCGAAACAATCGAACATGCATCCATTTTCGTGTCCACCAATATTCCTTTACAATTCAATCTCATTCCGTTCGCAAGAGGCTTCGAAATAATTAAATGTGGTCTTTTGTCTTTGACTCTTATTGGCCGTTTGGATTCTAGCTTTAACAAGGTAGAAAAATGTGTTTTATTCACACAAATGTCTATATCGTGGTCGTACGGTAGAAAGTCCAAATTTCGTTGATACCCTAATAGAGTACCATCACATATAAAGTAGTCTATGCGCCTGCCCCTAACAAGTTTGTTCCAGAAATTGAGAAGTTTTTGCAAGCGTTTTCGGTACGGATTTTGTCCACATCCTATTCCATAAAATGCGTTGCTATTTGTGTTTAATTCCGGCTTTATTCCTGTTTCCAAATTGGGCTCGGTGTCTTTTGTTTTAGCGAGAACATTAACATTGTTTTGTCTGCGTGAGTTCTCCATGGTATCGGCAGATCGTTTGCTATGAACGCCTGCTTCATCATTCGTGTAAAAGTCCCCGTTTTGCTCCTCATGCGAACGGAATACTTCTATTTTTGTGAAAAATAAAGGGATATATTTACCTCCGAGCCACAAAATCCATGTAGAATAGACTAAAATCAGCGCAATTGCAAATTTAGTCGACAAAACGTTACGCTTTAATATAGCAAAGTGCCTTGATACCTTTCTGAAAACATATGCCATTTATACATTAAAACATTGAAACCGTAACTTGTAAGCTCGTTTCCACTGGCACTGTAGGTGTATTTACTTGCCCGTCAGTTACTTTTTCCTTTGTGGGCAGATATACGATGCGAACAAAGAAATAGTGCTTTGCTCGTAAAAATAGCCGGTGGAAAACAAGCTCGCTAACAAGACATGAATAGTTGCACTGCTGTTTACCCGTTAATGTTTGTCACTCATATTTTTTTTAAAACAAGTCGCTGATTTAAACGTAGACCTGTTCGCTACAAAATCATGTGAATCCCAATCTCGCCTGACAGGCTGACCCAGACGGCCATCGTTGAGCGGAAATGATGGCTCTACAGATTGTGCCTTTCCTCGCACTAACAGACATTATACCCGGATAAAAAGACCTACCTAAAATGCTCCTGTTTTGTGATTGGCTTTTAGAAACAAAAATGATCACTGTTCGTGACTCGTTCTTTAGAAAGACGACTTCTTTATTTTTATTGTCTTTCATTGTTATAATCAACCAACCACGAGCCTGGATAGTATTATACAATTACTTTATGGTTTCCGTGTTTGGATGGCCTGATCCAAACACGCGGGAATGTTGCGAGAGTTTTTCTTAACTCGAGCAACATTCCCAAGTGTTTGGATCAGTCCATCCAAACACGGAAACCATAAAGTAATTGTTTTATAAAATAACAACAACACGGTAGTCTTCCGTGTTTGGATGGCCTGATCCAAACACGGCTTTCGACCAATCAGAATACGCGTTATATACATGTTATTTTATAAAGGTAGATGATGACCATTATAATGCGTGAATTTCTTGCCTTCCACTCTTCAACGCACTAACTAAAGCCCCGGTCATACGAGAATGCGAGTTAATGAGAGTTGAGAAGCGAGAGTTTGCACGAGAGTTTTCCCAACTCGGAGGACAGGATAAGCATTGAACTTGACGCCTACGTACTGTAGTGTACATATTACGGAATGTAATTGCAAATATTGGTAATTATAATTAAATACAATTGAATATATAATTAAAAAGGTAGAATTGGGAAAAAACCCACGAAAACGAGGCCCTGTCGCTACTTTCCGGAAACGATACGATATATTTTTCTTACATAACGTATTTGCTACTCTTGACTAGCAACATAGCAATGGCGGTCAAAACAAAACGTTTGAATGATTTGATGAAAGAGATTTCTAAAGAATTGCAACAGTATGTTTTTATTTGTTTGTATAGTATTGTTTTGTTATTTTAGTTGAATATAGGCTTTTGCTTTAGGTGTTGCATGTTATGTTGCAGACTACACAACTAGTTGTTTAAATACAAACCTGAGTGTTCACAAGCTGTTGACAACAATGACAAGTTGTGTTCGCACAGTCTGCTTGTTCGCTGGGACTGTCGACTGTATAGGACTTGTTGGAACTTGGAACAACCTTGCAACAAATCTGATCATATCAACAACTTGGAACAACCTTGCAACAAATCTGATCATATCAACAAGGTTGTTACAAGTTGTTCACAGCTTGTTCCAAACTTGTTGACAATTTGGGACAAGCAGACTGTGGGCCATTCCATTTAAAATCCACCCCCCCCCTGTTGACGAGGTTACTGATTTTTGACACCTTCGGAAACAGTTTTCTGGAGGACCCCCCTCGGAAATTTGCTATTTTTGTAGAACTCCTTTGGAAATTTACGATTTTTCTCAAGCCCCTCGGAAATACCTGTTGACGTGGTTCCATTACGATAGACCCCCTCGGAAATTTTTGCGAATTTATTGGCCCCCGCCGGGAAATTTTTGTCAACAGGTAGTCCCTTCCTCCCCCACCCCCCTCGGAAATTTTAAAGAAATATTATGACCCCTTGGAAAATTTAAAAAAAAATTTACCCCTTCAGAAATTTTCCTTTTACAACCCCCTTGGAAATTTCAACTTGGCACCCCCTTGGAATTTTCGACCTTCTTCGGAAAATCTAGTCAACAGGGGAGTGTGGATATTAAATGGAATGGCCCAGTGCAAACACAACTTGTTGACGGCTTGTTGGCAGACATGCTACAAGATGTGAGATTTTTGTTACTTAAGTTGTTGTTTTTGTACATTGCTGTTGCAGCACCTAGGTTTAATTCTTGATTGCAACATTATAGGTTACAGGGTGATATTATGGACATGACGGAAATGTTCAAACAAAGACGGGAAACAGTGGAAAAACATTGTGGGCAATGTCGAGATCTTTTTAAACCTTGGTATGTCATGAAAAACTTTGAAAGGACACTGTGGATTAAAAACATTATTTTGTTACAATATTTGCTCATTCCGTTACAGGCCAAGCAAAGTTGTTCAGTTGTATAATCCTAGTAGCCAAGCTGATGAAAAATTGGTGGAAACAGATGGTATAAAATTTAGGTGTAACATAAATGTAAATTACTAATAAAAATGTCCTGTGGTCTGCCTGGTTTCATATCCTGAAAAAGTTAAAGTAGGTCACAGGAAGCTAGGCTCTGTTTATGCGTGTATCTAGCCTTTGGTGCCCACCCACCCTAACCTGTGATCAGGCGTTATTTTTAGTGTGGGTAGAATATGGATGCGTCAGCTTGATTGCAGGTTACACCAACACTGTGGTCAAATGTAAAAGGCATGCATGAGTATATTGAAATGACGGGGGAAATGTTTGCCAAAATAATAGGTCAGTAAACATGGGAAAATAAAAGCGTGTACTATATAAGGAAATGACTGAAGCTATAAGGTAGGGAATTTCACTGTGTTTAATTTCCTTATAAAGTTATACTGAGTTTAAACCAGGTTGTAATTTTCTTTAAACTTTTTGCCAATCTTGTTCCCCGAGCCTCGCAGGTTCGAGGAACGAGATTGACTTTTTGCTAGAGCTTCATGAAGGCAATACTATTCCCAGTCTTTTCAATACAAACAGTCAAAATATGTGGATGTTTGACTGCAGTGTTGGTTATCACCACCCTATTTGACTCCTTATTTCAAGGTGGTTTAATTGGGAAGGTGTGGGCAAGGGGTCGATGCCCTATATAATAAACAGAACATTACATGGTGGCTTAAAGATATGACTTTTATCTTCTTGTGTTAAAAACAATATTTTACTCACTCGCTGCGCTCGTTCGTAAAATATTGTTTTCACCACTCGAAGATAAAAGTCATCTCTTCGTGCTGCTGTGTAATATCCTCTATGTATTTTTGAAAAATTCTCCAATCTCTATTTGACCGAATGCCCTAGAGCATTAACCCCCTCCCCTCAAACATGGCTGAAATCTACAAGCTCCAATATGGTAAACGGTAATGTAACATTAAATTGTTTCAGAGAAACTGAGCTGTGGTTTCTCTAATCCTGAAAATGAGAAAGAAGAACAGGAACTAGCAATGCTTGACGACATATTGGCGAAAGCTCAACACGCAAGAGATATACAGAATAAGGTTATTGGATAATTTACTTTTTAGCAATACAGACTCTATGCCCCTGTCAAATCATGGGGGCAAGACATCTTTGTACCAAGGGTCGATCTTTCCATGGCACTAGAGTTTGAGAGAAAATATCTTGGGTACAAAGTTGTGGAAGGGGGGGGGGGGACCAGTATGTATTTGCCTTGAACACTCATTTGAACATTTCATATATTGACCAATGGGAAAACTTCACACCCAAAGAATTTTAAACAGTTCATTATATAAACTTGCGTTTTATATGTAGATGTCAAAACCCAGCAAGAAATCTCACTCCGCAAAGTTAAAGTCTTCCAATTTATCAACTTCCCAAGTTAAGGAAACGAAACCCAAACCCAAAGTATCATATCCTGTCCCCAAGAGACCATCCTCAGCCAAAAGTACATATGCAGCGTCGTACGCAAAACCTACCGTTAAAAACAAATCGCTGGGAACAGGTAATTTTCATTAGGGATCCAGTATACCACGCGGCAGCTCAGGCTTATTGTAGAATACTACCTAGTAAGTGTCTGAACTACCTGAAAAAGATATCTCAAACGTGGTGGTTCAGTGTAGGTAGTATTCTACAATAAGCTGTCGTGGTTTGTGTCTGAACTACCTGAAAAAGATATCTCGAACGTGGTGATCCAGTGTAACTAGTATTCTACAATAAGCTGTCGTGGTTTGTGTCTGAACTACCTGAAAAAGATATCTCAAACGTGGTGGTTCATTGTAGGTAGTATTCTACAATAAGCTGCCGTGGTTTGTGTCTGAACTACCTGAAAAAGATATCTCAAACGTGGTGGTTCATTGTAGGTAGTACTCTATACAATAAGCTGTCGTGGTTTGTGTCTGAACTACCTGAAAAAGATATCTCAAACGTGGTGGTTCATTGTAGGTAGTATTCTACAATAAGCTGTCGTGGTTTGTGTCTGAACTACCTGAAAAAGATATCTCAAACGTGGTGGTTCATTGTAGGTAGTACTCTATACAATAAGCTGTCGTGGTTTGTGTCTGAACTACCTGAAAAAGATATCTCAAACGTGGTGGTTCATTGTAGGTAGTATTCTACAATAAGCTGTCGTGGTTTGTGTCTGAACTACCTGAAAAAGATATCTCAAACGTGGTGGTTCATTGTAGGTAGTACTCTATACAATAAGCTGTCGTGGTTTGTGTCTGAACTACCTGAAAAAGATATCTCAAACGTGGTGGTTCATTGTAGGTAGTATTCTACAATAAGCTGTCGTGGTTTGTGTCTGAACTACCTGAAAAAGATATCTCAAACGTGGTGGTTCATTGTAGGTAGTACTCTATACAATAAGCTGTCGTGGTTTGTGTCTGAACTACCTGAAAAAGATATCTCAAACGTGGTGGTTCATTGTAGGTAGTATTCTACAATAAGCTGTCGTGGTTTGTGTCTGAACTACCTGAAAAAGATATCTCAATACCTTCTTTCTTGATTTGGTCAGGTACTAAAAAGACTTCATCTGCAAATAGAACAACTGTCGCGTCTCAACAGAAATTAAGAAAGCAACCTGAACAAGGCAAAACAACAGAAATTAAATCTCTTGAGTCAAAAAAATCTACGTGCAAGAATCTAGTATCTGGAAACCCCACCCAACGTTCAACTGAAAACAAAGTATCGAGTAAACCGCATCCTAGTGAAAGCACAAATTCTGAACTTAACACGAAAACAACTACAGATGCCAAGTTCTTAATTTCCGAAAAAGGCTCCACATTAACTATACCAACGGAATTTCGTGAAATTTGCAAAGAGCACAAAAAGTTACTACGTCGTATTCAGAAAGCCAGAACTTTTACACAAAGGCAAAGCGAAGACCAGTTTGTAAAAAAGGCAGAAGAATTGTTTTGTCCGAAATTGCATCGTTTGCCAACTCTTTTGGAATTGGAGGAAGATATGTACAGACTCGAGAAAGAATATAAAGAACTTCTTGGTTTTATGAAAGTGAAGGTGTCGAATATGCAGTATGCAAGAGATACAGGTCAAATGGATGAGAGTTTTGATCGGTTGGAAGATTGGGGAACTGCAACGTCAAAATTTAAACAGTCAAATGAAGAGGTTCAGGTTCTCAAGGAAAGTAAGTATGAGAAAAGATGAAAGTCTGTAAGATATGATGATCTGGAAACTAGACAGAAGTCATTGTCTTATGTTTTTGTCTGAGTTTATGTTAATAGACCTTTTCCCTTATGAGTGAAATTTTGATCTAGTCAAGTCTGGACAAGTCATCTCAGCTTGAAAGAGCATCACAAAATTAGTAATATTCCGACGTTTCGTTGCGAAATGTTGTAAAATGCGGATAATATAGCCCTGCGAAGTTTGCCGTTTTTTTCAGTCATGCATTTTGCATTACAAATGGGAAATTGATAATCAGATGATCAAACTGATTATCAATTTCCCGTTTGTAATACAAAATGAATGAAAAACGGCAAACTTCGCAGGGCTATATTATCCGCATTTTACAACATTTCGCAACGAAACGTCGGAATATTACTAATTTTGTGATGCTTTTTCAAGCTGTGATGAAATTTTTGTCTTAACTTGTCTAGATCAAAATTTCACTCGTAAGGGGAAAAGTCTATTTGTACACCGCCACGGTGATTGAGCTCATTGTGTTTTCGTATAATGAAGTAACCGTCCAATAAGAATAGCTGAGAAAAAACATGCAATATGAGTATTCGATAATTGCGTCACAACTACACTGTTTTCAACTTAGGGCCACCTTAAATGGAAAGGATTTCAAGTTTTTTTTGTCATGTGCTATGTACAGAGAAGTAGAGTATCCTTCTTCAACACATGCATGAAAAATAATTCTTTATTTTGATCAATAAATGTGGAAATAAGCTTTAACACGAAAACGAGGCTCCAGGTTCGTTTTCGCGTTAATGCTTTTTTCTATATTTATTGATCAAAATCTTCGTGTTGAAGAAGGATGTTCTGCTTGAAACCTTGAAATCCTTTCCATTTTAGGTGGTCCTAAGTTGAAAACAGTGTAGTTGTGGCGTAATTATCGAAAGAGTGTATCGCGATGAATAATATTGAATGAAATTGAGACAAAGGATTTGTTCACGGTGAGATACAGTTCAACATCAAACAGAGGTCGTCTATATTGTATCTTAAAGTTTGCCAGGCTTCCAGATCTTCATATTTTGACAGACTGAAAGATATAGAGTTTATATAAAGACAAAAGTTGACATTTTTAAATCGCGTTCTGCAAGTTCATTTATAGAAAAAAAATAAGTTTTTTTCAGAAATTAAATCTCTTGAGTATTTATTTACTGTAAAGTTTCTGATTATATATTGTTTTAGGTTTAATGTTCCTCAGCAAACACTGTCCATTTCCTGAACATAAATCTGTGGTTTTTGGAGGGCAAGGAGAAAATTTGGATGGCAAGTTACCATCCAGTTTCAGGGGACCAAAATATTCAAAAACGGACGCGAATGGATGCTTTTCCTATCATAATATGAAGGTATCATTGATGTTTCAAACTGTATAACTCTATCAGTTCTAAACTGTTCTCCCTAGAGGTCCAGTAAGGATCATCTCTTATTGATCCAGTGTTACTACAGGAGGAAACCTAAACTAAACTAACTTTATTTATACTGGATTGGTCTATCAGTTCTAAACTGTTCTCTCTAGAGGTCCAGTAAGGATAATCTCTTATTGATCCAGTGTTATACTACATGAGGAAACCTAAACTAAACTAACTTTATTTATACTGGATAACTCTATCAGTTCTAAACTGTTCTCCATAGAGGTCCAGTAAGGATCATTTGTTATTGATCCAGTGTTACTACAGGAGGAAACCTAAACTGAACTACAGTAATACTGGATACTTGTTCTATCAGTTTTTAACTGTTCTCTCTAGAGGTCCAGTAAAGTCATCCCTTATTGATCCAGTGTTGCTACAGGAAGGAACCGGAGTACCCAAACAGAGCAAACCGTTTCACATAGGCGTACGAGATACAAATTTTTTTTTTTGAAAACCATGGAAATTCGGGCAAATGCTAGAAAAATCAAGAAAATTCGGGCAGATTTATCAGAAAATAGGTTAAATTCGGGTAATTTCATTACAATCCTCCATAAAAATTCGGGCAAACTTTCAACTGCCCCCTGGAAAGCATCAAGCCGGTACGTCTATGCCGTTTCGTAGTGATAAACCCAAATGACTTGTTCGAAAATGAGATTAATACTGTACACGTTTATTATGATTATTTTCAGGAGCTGAGAACGTTACTTAAACTATCTTATGACTATAAGATCATGAAGTATCAGTTGGATTTAAGAAAAATGCTTGGCGAGGCATTATTGCCGTTGTTACGACAGTTGCCTACAAGTCACAAGTAAGGCCAACATCTTGTGTTTCGCTTTGTTTACGTGTTGACAGAGTTTTCCTTCTAAACTGACATTGACTATTTTGGATACCTTAGTCAACTCTAAATTGTTCTTCCTAGAGGTCCAGTAAGGGTCATCTTTAATTGCACTAGTTTTACTACCGGAGATCCTTGTGTACCCAGCGAAAACCTGTGGTGTTCGGTCGAGTCGAATTGGAAGCACTCTTCTCACATGTGACTCGGGGAAAATTATAATCTTTACCCGAATAAAGTCCATATATACTCACAAACATTTGCTAATGAAATGATTTTCAGTAACAAAGGCTAAAATTTTACTCGCATTTTGCGAGTGTTAAGTTTGAGGCTTGCGTGTATCTACGTAGGCCTAGTACCTGACTGAAACCAAAGAAGTACCGCTAAGACCGTAATATTGGCGTGCATCAACACCAATTGTTTGAAGGACTTTATATATGCAACAATTGCCTTTCAATTCTCTTTCTCTCATAATTTATCTTTTGTCACTAGGTCATTTGTTCCACTTTGTCGTTCTGTCTACTCCATTTTGTGTTGTGAAAGCAAAACGTTTCCCACTGTGGTAAAAGATTGCTCTCCTGAAGACTGAGAAATGATGAACTCACATTAAAATATGTTAGCGTATTATATCCAAGGCCAATTAATTTAGTATCAATTTAAATTTATCAAATACATGTACTGTAACAAGACAGGTAAATATCAAGATTTTGTTGGCATCACACTCGATTGAATAATGGTTGAAGGATCTTGCAGATGGAAGATCTACAGTATATCCATCTAAAAGACCCTTCAACTATTACTGGACGTACACCTGTTACTGTCAGATTACACTGTCAGATCACTGATAAGGCTATTATTAACAACTGCAACAGTGTCATCTCTTTTACAGGTCTAGTCTTAATAGCTCTATCTGACAGTATTCTAAACCGTTCTTCCTAGAAGCTCAGTAACTTTATACTGCATTGGCACAACGTTCCTATATAAAGAAAGCTAAAGTACTAACTTTATTTATGCTGGATACCTCTATCAGTTCTAAAGTGTTGTCTTTTGATGAACAGCAAAAAGGGATTCCTTATTGAATCCTAGAGAAAACCTAAACTAACTTTATTTAAACTGTTATTAATGGATAGCTCTATCAGTTCTAAACTGTTCTCCCTAGAGGTCCAGTAAGGATCATCTCTTATTGATCCAGTATTACAGAAGGAAACCTATTAAACTAAACTAACTTTATTTATACTGGATAACTCTGTCAGTTCTAAACTGTTCTACCTAGAGTTCGAGTGACGGCCATATAAAACCACCGTCTGCCTTTTGTGCACGATATATAAATTATGAGACTTTGTTTCCCCCAGTTTTCGAGATCATACACGCGGTTTCAAAATCTCCCCCGCCGACTCGTGTACGAATCCCCCCCCCTCTGGCCCCCTCCCCCTGACTTAGTGTTCCAGTTGATTTAAGTTCAGTTAGCTTGATGACGTTGCAAAGTGTCTTCGTGGCTAAAGCAAGATGGCGGACGATTCTCTAGTTGAGCAACAAACGCAAGAAATTGAAAATGCAAACGACACAGACGAATCTAAAGAGCCTATCCTTGAGCAGACAGAAGAAATACCTCCGGAAAAGGTTGTTGTACAATTTTGTGTACTTTCAATGCTTGTGCATTATGCAAAATTGTTTATTTATCTGGCTAATTTCAGGAAGCTGTAAATGTTGTATAAATTGACCACTTTTTTTTCTCATGTTAAATATCGTATGTTTAAACAAATTCAGTGCATCACATTCATAGTGCGTCCCTAAGCAGTAGGTCCTCCTTTTATTTTGTTTATTTTTATTGCTTGTTCATTGTACAAAATTGCAATGAAACATGATCCGTGGCAACGACTGTCAAAGTGTCAACGACTGAACGAGCAGTTCACCTATTGTCTATTGATTGGTTTCAGTATAACACGTTTTAGAATTAAGGCAGCAGATACGTGGTCAGCTTAAGAAACTGTGAGAGGCAAGAAAATTATACTGCATTTCTAAAGATTAGTATATATAGTAAATAAAATAACGTTTTCTGACTGATCGATGCTGCGCATTCTTCAATCCAAAAGGCAATTCCAGGTATAGACTAAATTTTGATGTAGGCAAGAACAACAAAATCCATCACCACAGCTAGAAAGATCATGTTAAAGTTAGTAAAATTGCAAAATTTGGTTTCAAAATGTGGAAAATATAGCCCTGCGAAATTTACAAATTTTGTATTTATACATGCAGGAAAATGCACCACATTTGGGCTGAAAGTACAAAATTTACAAATTTTGCAGGGCTATATTTTCCTCATTTTACAACATTTTGCAACCAAACTTTGCAATTTTACTAATTTTAACATGCTCGTTCTAGCTGTGGTGATGGATTTTGTTCTTGCCTAGATCAAAATTTAGTCAATAGCTGGAATCATCTATTTGAAATAAGTAATGAACTTGGATTGGGGTGCATATAGTGAAACACATGTATATTTATACAAGCAAATTTAGGCTATGATGCTTGTTTTGTTTTAAGGAACCACAGGGTGTTATTGAAGAAATTATTGCATCACTCTTAAATGTGAAAAGGTATGCATTTTTTTCCATTTTTATATTCGATTGGCTGGTCGGATAAAATAAAATGTCTGGAATTGCAGTGTTTGCGTAATGTAATCTAAGAATACACCCTTCCGGAAAGTACGTTACTTTTGGCTATAGAGCCTCGTTTTCGTGTATGTGACATCAGTTAAAGTATGTACTTTCCGGAAGCGTGTATTGTTTCAGATGATATACATGGCTAGAGTGATAATTAAATAATGCCCATCTCTCAAACCAAAAATTAATTAGAGTTTCCCAGGGGTCTGTGTTCTCTTGAAACATTTTCCTTTGTTCCCAAAAAAGATTTCACCATCACAGAATATTTTGACTCAGAAACTTGAGTAAAATAATGCACAACATGGCTGAGATTTTTCTGACTTTGTTCCCATGTTTCTATTGCAAAGTATTGCCTAGTAATTGTTTCCTAAAAACCCCTGGGAGTCCCTCATTAATGTTGGCAATATTCTTCAATAAACTACCATGGTTTGAGCGTGAACTACCTGAAAAGATATCGCAAACCATATGGTAAATGTTGTGGTCCAGTGTAGGTAGTATTCTACAATAAGCAGTCGTGGTTTGTGTCTGAACTACCTGAAAAAGATATCTCAAAGTGGTGGTCTAGTGTAGGTAGTATTCTACAATAAGCTGTCTCCCAAAGGACAGACCCTGGGAATGAGGTTGTCGAGGTTTATGTCTGAACCACATGAAAGAGATATCTCAAATGCGGTGGTCCAGTGTAGGTAGTATTCTACAATAAGCTGTCATAGTTTGTGTCTGAACTACCTGAAAAGATATCTCAAATGCAAGGTCCATTGTAGATGATATTCTACAATAAATTTGCTGTGAGATTAAAAATATTTTGTGTTTTGACCTTCTACTAATCTCCTGAACAAACTTGTCTTTCCAAACATCAAAGTAATAATTTTTAAAACATTTTCACATAGTTTAGACGGCGGGGGTAATTTGCAGAATGCAGAACGCGACTTCAGCTTTTATGGTGTTAGGACTCTAACCCTAACCCTTTCGGACAGCTTTTACATATCACTGCTGAGCGAAAGTACAGAAGTCGCATTCTGCATTCTGCAAATTACCCCCGCCCTAGTTTAGACCCAAACCGGCCATTGCAGCTTTGATTGTTCATCATGCTTAACCCATTGCATGAGTATGTGCCAGTGCTCTCCCCTTGATGAGTAAAATTATCTGACATTCGACAGGGTAAAACAACAAAGTAGGGAGCATTTGGGTTGAAATAGTGCATTTGGAAAATGAAATTTGCCATCATGTTAACCCATTAAGTGGCAGCACTCTCCCTCTGACGAGTAAAATCGTCTTGCGTTAGACAGAGTAAAATAATAAAGTAGGGCGCATCTGAGCACATTGCCACAGGGTTAATCTATTGCATGCCACTAATCGATACCTGAAATAATTCCCTTAACCAGGCACATGTACTTACCAGCTACTTGTACTAGAAATTAAACATTGTTAAAATTGTTTTTAATAGTCCAAGAGATGATCTTCAACCTATGAGCATGAAAGATGGGTAAGTCCAGATGTATCTTGCTGGGAAGCATAGACTAGTGAATACATTTTTCAATGTTTTACTGAGATATATAAATATATCAAATATATAACAAAATCTTGATGTGGTTTGTTTTCAGTGAGAATGAGTTACAGGTAATTTTACAAGAAGTCAGTTCACAGATACCAGAGAAAGGAATGCAGTAAGTACAGCCATTTGCAGTTGAGTTTGCAATTTGCATGTTATATTCATTGTTACAGTATGCAGTGTTCATCCCTTAGAAATGCATTGTTGCTCAGTGCTGAACATGCACTTTTGAAGGGCGCAATGCCAGGTCAGATAATGTAAACAAATAAGATGTGTTCACAAGTTAAACATTTATATTAATAAAAGCAAATTTTTTACAATAGTGATAAAATTTAGCACATCAGGTAGAACTTAAAATGTTGTGAAAGTGCTATGTATAAACACAATTTATTTTAGTCCCTCATGATATTACAGTAAAAGCTCTGATTTGAACCCTACTGACTATCAAATGAATGACTAGCTTGTTGACTCTCTGACCAACCACATGGCTGGAGGCCTGACTGATCAACTGACTGACCAACCGACCGATCAACCGGCTTACCCACTGACTGGTCAACTGATTGGCCTACCGACTGATCAACCGACTGACTGATCAACTGACTGACCGATCAATCGACTGACTGATCAACCAGCTTACCCACCAACAGATCAACCAATTGGCCTACCGACTAATAAACCAGCATACCCACTGACAGATCAACCGATTGGCCTACCGACTAATCAACCGACTGACTGATCAACCGGCTTACCCACTGACAGATCAACTGATTGGCCTACCGACCGATCAACCGACTGACCGATCAACTGACTTACCCACCGACAGATCAACCGATTGGCCTACTGACCGATCAACCTACAGATTGATCAACTGGCTTACCCGCCGACTGATCAACCGACTGACCGATCAACCGACTGACCGATCAACCGGTTGGCCTAACGACAGATCAACCGATTGGCCTACCGACTAATCAACCGACTGACTGATCAACCGGCTTGCCCATTGACAGATCAACTGATTGGCCTACCGACCGATCAACCGACTGACCGATCCACTGACTTACCCACCGACAGATCAACCGATTGGCCTACCGACTGATCAACCTACTGACCGATCAACTGGCTTACCCACCGACCGATCAACCGACTGACCGATCAACTGGCTTACCCACAGACAGATCAACCGATTGGCCTACCGACTGACCCCTTCGTGATTGGCATCACCTTCGCTGACATGATAAGTGTTGCCAACAAAGGAAAAACTCATTTTACATGAACAAATTCACCCAGTGGAAAGTAGGCTTTACTATCTGACTGACTGACAGAGGTGGCTTAATGATCCAACTAATCATAAGTTACCCACGGTGAACTTTTTTTGCTCTTCAGAAGCAGATACTACTGCCATCCCACAAGAAACACGCACATCTCTATCTTGGCACGAACATTCACCTCATATCTATCATTACTTGAACAAACACGACTTGATAAACTTTATGAACATCTGGTTGAGGAAGTAACGGAATGGATTTCAAAACTATTCAAGTAAGTAATTTATCATGGCGTTCTATATGCAGAACCTGAAATAATTGTTGGATATGTGAAATTTTTAAACCAATACACAGTTTTCTCGATGTGGACAATATTTTCCCAATATGAATTCCTTTTATTTGAATGTTTCTTTGTCTTCTAGTTTTGGTGACAGTCTTGCTTACTACCATCATCACTGCTGGAATGGCATTGTTAAAGGTATTTATTATTTAGCTGAAATAATTGCTTTGTTTTGTGCATTTAAACATTTTATTTACTGACCCTTCCATATATACCGTAGCTGTGCTCCGTCATCAGACATGAGTTTATGTTTCTGCAAGTAAGAATGGTATTCAGCACCCACCCACTTAGCTTATCGCTTATGTTTTTAATTTACAGTCTGTAGACTGGCGTTGCGTATGAAGTATCCCAAATATGCCACAGATGGATTCACAGCACTTTATACAAGGTAACATATACTGTAAAGAAACTGAACTTCAAATATTTATGAGCTGCATGGTCATATATTATGTAATAAATCATATTTATTAATTATTTACGCTTCCTCTGTTTTCAGACCTCCAGTTATCTATATAAGCGCTGCTGCTCATCCGTCTTTTGGTGCTTACCTAAGAATGGAGGTATGATCACTCAAATAAACATATTGGTTTTAAAATAAACATATTGGCATTATATTCCGTAAAAACAAAAGTAGACTCCATGCTTCCATGGCTCACAAAAACATTCCGCGCACACAAAAGCACAAAGATTTGAATGACTAACAAAACATTCCGTATCAAAATCGTATCATTTTAAGAATTATAAAAATCGTTTCGATTCCATAGCTTAATGATACAGCCATTATTTATTAACGTTGGTCAAAACCAAACGCCAAAAGTACGCTAAACTTTACCTCTTGACTTAATTCTCGTCAGTATTGCAATTCAATGGAGAATTTTGACACAAAAAATTACGCAAACTAATTATAAATGCTGAGAAAAATTTCTAGAAATTTGGTTTTAGTAGAAGCTTCACGATTTCCGAGCCTAAAGATAAAGTAAACTATAATTTTTTTAGGGGGGGGGGCAAATTTTTTTTTGGGGGGGGGAAATTTCCTGGGACACTGGAGCGATTACAGAATACCATCCATTTTTGAAGACATTTTTGTATTACACAGCCAGAAACGCACAAGTCGGAACAGGTCTGCAACAGATCTGTTAAATCCTGTTGTCAACAAGCCGATATCTGGATGCGTTCGCTCGCCTTGTACCTGTCTGTTCTGACAGATCCGCAACGGCCTGTCAACAGGTCTGGTAGAAGCTGTTGTGACAGAGCTGCAGCAATGCTGTTTTCAACAGGTCTGTTAGAAGCTGTTGTGACAGAGCTGCAGCAATGCTGTTTTCAACAGGCCTGTCGCAAGTTGTTGGCACAGAGCTGCAGCAATGCTGTTTTCAACAACTTGCGACAGACCTGTTGCAAACCGAGGAAAGCACCTTATGCCAAGCTTGTGTATCCACTATTTTGAACAAAAAACGGCCAAACAGGTTGCCATTTTTCGGTTGTAGTGTTTCGTGAAATGGCCAGACTTTCATATGAACACTTTAATATAAACAAACTTGCGAGATAATTTTTGAGCAAAACAGCCGAAAAAATACGACAAATTCAAGAAAGGTTCTTATCGTAAACAATTTTCAAAATTAATTGGTCTTTAAGTACGACCGAAATATGACAACCTACTTGCATATTTTTCTTCAAAATAGTACATAAATAACACAAAGCTTCAATAAGGCGTCTTCCTCGCTCGCGGATTTCACTTGAAATTGGAAAGAAATCATTGTATATAACGAATTTCATATTCATTTGAACAATGAAGAACGTTGCAGTGAACACTCGGTTGCTCATGTATTTTTCATTTCTTAAGCTCTAGATCTTGTATTCTCATTGCCACAGTTTCTTCAAAAATCAAAACAGCTTTGAACTTGTTTGATTTTGTTTGAGGCAGTTGTTGAAATTTTGTTTGGCTCAAAATTCAAAAACAACTAAACATGATTACGTGATTGATATGTTTGTAATATTTCGTCCAATTGCAACGAGGAATGATGACGTGTGCACACGCCTTTATCCAATCAGATTAAAGAAATATAACGATAGCACACGTCAGCAAATTGGAATTTGGATTTTGGAAATCGGAATTATTTTTTAAAAATATAAAAAGATAAAAACAGCGGCTTTTGCATTTAATCACAGAGTAGATACTTAGGTTATGTTCGCACGGGCGTCGTTTTCCAGCGTTTTCAAAACCTTTTTTTCCTTTAATCGTTTTGACGCCCTGTTCACACGATCCAAAGGAAAATATATCTCCAATATATTAAATAAACTACAGCTTCTGTTGTATTAAAATTGATATTGTGATTTAATATTGCCTTGAATGAGAAAGTGAAGCCGGACGTGTCCATTTCGTGCGACTTTTCTCTTTACCACATTCTTTACTCACATTTTCGATTTGTTTCCCAACAACAGGCTTGTTGAAACTTGTTGTGACAGGACAAAAATTGTTTGTTGTGGACAGGTCTGTCGCAGGTCTGATAACAAGCTTGCTGCAGACTTGACAAAAACAACTCGCGACAGGTCTGTTGGAACAAGTTGGAACAGACCTGTTGATTTCAACAGACTTGCTGCAAGTTGTTCTATCAGACCTGTTATCTCTTGTTAGTAACAGGTTTGTAGCGGGTTGTTTCAACAAGTCGCTACGGCTCTGTTGTCAACAGCTTGCGACAGACCTGTTCCCGCAAGCCTGTTACCGCCTGACGAAACCAACAGACCTGTCGCGACTTGTTGACAACTTGCCGCAAGCCGGTAAAATCAACAGCTTGCGACAGGCCTGTGAGATTTCTGGCTGTGTAGTATTAGAGAGGTTCAGAATTTGACTTGTATATAAATTTCCACTCGATAATTTCCATCTACAACACCCTAATATGCATATATGAACTTGTGGTTAGACGTGGAGAATTGGACTCTGTAGCTCAGTTGGTTAGAGCGCTGCACAGGAATCGCAGGGCCGTAGGTTCGATTCCTGCCTGGGACCTGTAGTTTCATTTTTCGCTTCTGTTCCTGGATAGATCTTCAACTATTATTGAATCGAGTGAGATGCCAACAGAATCTTAATTCAAAGACATCTATTTTGACGCTAAAATGTACTGTTGCTTATAATTAATGACATATATAATTATAAGAAGGGAGCTATATTTTTAATTACTGGCCACGTGACTACTACATTGGGGCTACTAGGCTGCGCAGTGAGTTTTTAAAAGAACGAAACATTTACTCTCGATTTCAATTTACTTTTGAAATCTGACTTCCAATATTTATTTGTAAGTTCGGAATGTTCGTTGCAAAGTTCCGAAGTTTGTTTCGAAGTTCGTTGCGATGATTTCCGAAGATCAAGTTTAGTAAGTTGTAATCGGCTAGTCAAATGAACCAGCCAATTAAATCACCTCCTATTGAATCATCGTAAGTCGTCGGAACGAACTTCAAAACGAATTTCACAACTTTGCAATGAACATTTCGAAGTTACAAACAAACATTCAAAGTCAGATTTCAAAAGCAAATTGAAATCGAGAGTAAGTATAGTGACATAATTATAATGTAGCTTCTGCATGTAGCCCAACTATCATCTTTCTCGTTTTTTCAGCTTGGTCTTCCACAATCAAGTATTTGTGAAGGTAACAATATATAGCAATCAATTATTTTTTCCAACGCTTCTCAGCTTACAGTCTTCAAATTTCTGAAAACTACACTCGCCACTTACATGACTGTTCTTTTTTAACTAACCTTATATATTTCCCTCTCTAGTTCCTTGTAACACAATGTTTGGTTCAATGCACTCAATGGTATGCCTTATTTTAATGGTATCCTTTGTTTCCCTATAAAGGTCGGTTTACCACTTGCAATTTTAGGTGCGATTTTCTATACCATGCACGATTTAGAGTGACTTTATTATGGCACTCAGTTGTAACACTGTTACAAGTGTTACACATTGTTAAACAATGTTACATATTCTTACATAGTGTTACACAGTGTTACATAGTGTTACATAGTGTTACATAGTGTTACACATTGTTACATAGTGTTCCACAGTGCCACATAGTGCTACAGAGTGTTATATAGTGTTATAGTGTTACATAGTGTTACACACACTAACCCTAACCCCACCCCTAAATAAAGATAGTGTAACACTTGTAACACTGTTACCCGAGTATATACTTGATATTAAAAAACTCATTAATAATTCATGAAGAAAACACAAAGAAAAATCATAAGCGTGTCGTATCTGTATATGTGATACAGATTCATGTTGATTTACATAAACTTTAACTTTGATTTTCTCGGCTTAGACAACGTTTATTTTTAAAATTACTTCGCCAATGAACTCATAATTGAATGAGTTCATTCGCCAATGAACTCATTCGCCAATGAACTCATTCGCGTCCGTGTTGTATCGGATATACAAACTCTCGCCTTCGGCTCGAGTTTGTATATCCGATACAACACGGCCGCTCATGTTGTAAATGCATCAAATGTATACGATTTTCTTCTCCTGATGTATGTGAACGAGTGGATGAGTTAGGAATATTTAGATGAGGGGTGCCTATACTCAGAACATTCATAACATATCTACTCGTTCACATCCATCAGAAGAAGAGAATCGCACTAGAAATCGCAGCAAACTGAATTGCAATTGTAAACAGGCCTTCAAGGCTACCCTCGTCACGGCATAGCACAAGTGTTTTTTTCCTGTGTAAGAGTTTTCTATCTTTATTTTGCCAACAGGATATCGCTGCGTTCGAACGTTTGTTGAGTGACGATATTTCTTGTGGAAAGACTCCCTTGCTGGTTGTGGCTCATGCTGGTATGATCAACTCATTTGCGTTGATTTCTGTTTTAGCAGTTTGGATGCAAATCTAAAGTGAACGTGTTTTGTGATTGGTTTGCTTCAATAAAAGTGATCGTTTTTCTAACTCGTTCTTCAGAAAATTTATTATTGAGTTTTATTGTGTTTCATTCTTAAATCAATCAATCAGAAAACCTGTTCAAAATAGGTCGGTGGCAATACTTCTATTGTCTTAGTTTTTGAAAGAAATGGGTGATTCCAGCTGCAGACTAAATTTTGATCTAAACAAGAAGAACGAAATCCAACACCACAGCTAGAAAGAGCATCTTAAAATGAGTAAAATTGCAAAGTTTGGCTGCGAAATGTTGTAAAATGAGGAAAATATAGTCCTGTGAAGTTCGCAAATTTTGTATATATTTGTATTAGGCGCGGTAAAAATAACCACTTTCCGCTCAAAAATGGTTATTTTTCCCGCGCGTAATGCAAATATATACAAAATTTGCGAACTTCACAGAGCTATATTTTCCTCATTTCATAACATTTCGCAACCAAACTTTGCAATTTTACTCATGATTTTGTTCTTCTTGTCTAGATCAAAATTTCGTCCATAGCTGGAATCGCCCATTAGCTCATAAGCTTATTTTAACTAGATTACTGGAATTAACTTGTTATTATTCTTTGCAGGCACTCCACTTGTAGGACACACAGACAATCTGCAAAGGCTGCGAGAATTGTCCACACAGAATGGTCTTTGGTTGCACGTTATCGGGTAAGTATGAATTTGACAGTAATTATAAATGGTCGCCCAGGATAGATACGATAAATCGGTAATAGAGATTAATATATAATTTTAAGAGTTCTTTTGAATGAGACAAACTATTTTTTTATTGACAATGTCCTTTAAGTATCTCACACATTTGATAATTTCTAGAGACACCTTGGCAACACTGTCACTTGCATCGGTGCCTTCATCAATGGCAGTAAGTGTATTTTATTTCGTAATTACTTTACTTTCGCAAAGTATGATTGAACAAAGACCAGTTACTGTATATTATTGTAATTCAATTTTCGGCCTTCTGTGTACGACGCAGGTACCTGAAACGTAAGAACAAACTTCGTCATTTCGAGCCAAGGTCATTCATCTGCAAGGAAAGTTATAGCTACTTACTAGCTTCTAGACGAAGGAAGTCGGTAGCCGTTTCCACGACCAATTGTGACTGATACATGATTTCTCATTTTTTGTCCACGACCAATTGTGACTGATACATGATTTCTCAATTTTACTTTTGCAGCCAGCGATCAGCAGTGATAGTATCACCTTAATATTACATCGATGGTTTGCAATGCCTACCGCTCATTGTTGCGTATCCTTTTATGGCAATTGGATAATATAATAAGGGATGGCCCTTACTGGATCTCTGGAGAGAACAGTTTATAACTGACTGAGTTATTCAGCTGATATAAATAAAGTTTGTTTAGTTTAGGTTTTCTCCCATAGTAAGACTGAATCAATAAGAGGTGACTTTTACTCGACCTCTGTCCTCTGGGGAGAACAGTTTAGAACTGCAAGAACTATCCAGTATAAGTAAAGTTAGTTTAATTTTATTTAGGTTTCCTCTTGTAAGTAACACTGGATCAATAAGAGATGATTCTTACTGGATCTCTAGAGATGATTCTTACTGGATCTCTACTGGAGAACAGTTTAGAACTGATAGAGATATCCAGTATAAATAAAATTAATTTAGTTTAGGTTTCCTCCTGTAGTACCACTGGATCAATAAGAGATGACTCTTACTGGACCTCTATGGAAAACAGCTTGGCCTGATAGAGCTATATCCAGTATAAATAAAGCTACTTTAGTTTAGGTTTCCTCCTGTAGTAACACTGGATTAATACAGATGATCCTTACTTGACCTCTAGTGAGAACAGTTTAGAACTGATAATGTTATCCAGTATATATAAAGTATAGTTTAGGTTTTGGTATATTCCTTAATTCTGGACACAGACATTATATAGAATCAAAGATCGCGTCCAGGCAGCACATGCCGGGTTAGGTTGCACAGAACAAGATGTTGAAACTTTGATTCTTCCACTCTGGATATCTATTAAACAAATTGGTGAGTACCATGATACCAGATTTACACCTCGCGACACGAAACGTACTTCTTTCTACATTGGGTAATGTTTCAGAGTTCCAAAAACGAACTCGATATTGTTCAACTTCCTGTATATTGGCGGTCAAACTTTATCACTTAGCTTAGACACTGCGATGCATAGCTATACATTATGAATCTTTTTCTGCTTAGGAATGGAAGAACTAAGAAATTCCGTTGTTAAAGCTGGAGAACTGGTAGGTCGCTGTTTCTTTGTTTGTTTCCTGATTCTCTTTAGTTCTTGGTCTGTTTGTGTGTCTCGTGACTTCTTTTGTGTTTTCGTCATGAATGATTAATGAGTTTCAGAAGTATTTTAAAGCATGCCCCAATCTTGCAAACGACATTATATATCCACTGCATGTGGGCTTGTCTAGATTTATTCAATGCGATCAATCGATGTTAATCGATTGTTGATGACGATTCATCTATTACGAAAATGAACCGATTGGAGCAACTCGTACAGAATGTATCTAATACATAGTCGGATTTACTGGGGGGAAGGGGGGGGGTAACCCCTCCCCCCTAGAATCTCTCTAACCTCTCTAATAAAGTTTTTCAACCCCACCAAAATTTCGCTTCACCCCTCTTATTTTGTGTGAAAGGCTTTAATCCAAACGCCTAACCCCTGTCGAAGCTCACTGAGTGGTGCCACTTGCACCCCACCAGAAATTTTTCTACCCCTCCTTTTAAATAAATGAAAATCTGCCCTTGATCTAATATATTTTGCTTTATTTAATATAGGCGCAACATATGTGTCACCTTCTTGACTTACTCCCAAATATAAAGCGAATTGTAAGTAGCTAGATTTAGTTACACCGCCATTCTAGAAACTGTTTTTATATAAGAATAAGAAGAAGCTCTTTCGTCTACTCTTATTGTGGGCAGAGGAAAAACTCTGTTTGAAAAAGAATTGGTCATCTTTTATTATTATAATTAATTATTATTATTTAAACTTATTTAGACACAAGGTGGTCTTCAACCTCGTACCCAGGCTATCTTTTAGTTGCCTGGTTTTCAAAGGGCCGTGCGGTTTACAAAAATAGAGAGGGGGGAAATATTACCTATATTTTCAACAACTGTTAAAAATATACAATAACTTTCTTTGCTATACACATATAATGGTACTGTGTAAATCGATTTAATTACATCTGATTACATGAAGTATTTATTTCAGGAACAAAGTCGTTGTATATCTCCTGTGGTCGTATTTCGTTACTCAGGCGAAAGTTCCGAATCTGAGAGTTCAGAAGGTAGCAATAGCAGTGACGAAGGTGCGTTTTCTGGTGTTTGTGGAGCTCTAAGAAGAACAGTTTAGAACTGATAGAGCTATCCAGTATAAATAAAGTTAGTTTAGTTTAGGTTTAGATCCTTACTGGGCCTCTAGGGAGAACAGTTTGGAACTGATAGAGCTATCCAGTATAAATAAAGTTATAAGTTCTTTGAATGTTTGCATGGCGATAAAATATAATTGTTTTTGTTTGTGGAAACACCACGTAAATTTATTACTGCAAAGCTTTCGATCCGTAAGCCCGGATCTTCATCAGTGCTAATAATAGTGATAATCATATTATTAGCACTGATGAAGATCCGGGCTTACGGATCGAAAGCTTTGCAGTAATAAATTTACGTGGTGTTTCCACAAACAAAAACAATTAAATAAAGTTAGTTTAGTTTATGTTTCCTCCTGCAGTAATACTGAATCAGATCCTTACTGGACCTCTAGGGAGAACAGTTTGGAACTGATAGAACTATCCAGTATTAGTAAAACTTTAGTTTATAATGCTTTTCTGCAGGTGATGATGAATCGTCAGAGGAAGAAAATTCTTCGACAAAACGAAAACCTGAGAGGGAAAAAGCATCAAATGCGCTCATTGACTCTTTTAATAAAATGGTGAGTGAAATTATATTTTAAATATGTGAAAAGAATGAGTGAATGGATGACGTGGAGAACAGTGGGGATTTTTAGGTTATAATTCCATGAGACGCAGTCACCGAATATATTACCGTAATTAGACACCAGTCCCCTATGAATTCTGGTAACACGGTTCTTCCATGGTTGTACAGTTCCGCAGTACTACTGCCTACTGGTATATATAGACATATAGTACTATGGTACTGTATATGGTACTATGGTACAAAATGTACTATGGTACTACGGTAAAGGTACTATGGTACTATGGTACTATGGTACTACCGACTACGGTACTATGGTACTAGGGTAGGGTACTATGTATTTCTTACTATTTCAGTTGGTGTCGTCTTTGTCTAAAGAAGCGGTTCATGTCAGTATTGATCTGATTCATGTTCCTAATGTTGGTTGGTGTCTTCGATTTAATCCCCTGGTCTACGCGGCAAGTAAGTCTTGAACGTCTATATAACAAACGTACTTGCAGGGAGGTGAGTCCGGGATTGGACGCACCGAGGATGGCTGGAAGTTTCCCGAACTTACCGAGCGAAGCGAGGTGAGTTTGGGAAACTTCCAGCCACCCGAGAAGACGTCACTACGAGTCATTAGGCGCCATCTTGGTTGATTTTAAACTTTGGTTAAGCCTTTTACAGCGAAGTAGTTGAGTTAATTTAACATTTTCTGGTTTGTTTTGAAAACATGTTACTGTATTATGGATAGTTTACGGTCTTTGGCACAATACGACAAAGAATGAAGAACATGAATTTTATACACGTGTATTTTGAAAATCAACCAACATGGCGTCGAATGCAATTTTTCTCATTTTTAGTGTGCTAATGGATTTGAAATATTTAATTTTTAGCGTCTGCAACAACAAACGATTCAGTGGACCATTTTATAAAATGTCTTGAAACAAAAATTGTAAGTTGACAACGTGGCACTGTATCGATGACGTCATACTGTGACGTCATAGCTCGTCCTCATGCTCGTATTCTTGTGTTATCTAGAGTGCATTTGACGCTACGTTGTCCGACAGGATTGGTTTACTGACTGCCCTGGCAGATAAACCACACGTAGTGTCGGTCGATATTCCTGACTTCCCTGGAGTCGGCGCTGTCCAGTAAGTATTAGCCTGGTACTAGGGAGTTTATGCTCAGATGAGGGCATCGTGTTGATAACCGTCGTGCTTCGGCGGTTAGAGGCGTCCTTGTAAGCCAAGAACAAAATAATATAAAGTCTCAAGGACCTAAATGTGAAACTAACTTGAGACCGTAGTTGTGACTCAACGCTGGTTGAATTGAAAAAAAGTTTAAAATCTCAGTACATTGAAAGTTATTAATTTGACTGAAGGCCCGGTACTGAATGTTGAATCAGACAGACATTATTTAACCAGTACTTTAAAATGAAATGTTTTTTCTACAAGATACAATACACTTTTATTGACCAAAAAAGAATTACAAATAATTTGAATTATTCATATTAATTTGGATACAACGGGGTCACCTAGAAAAACCACAAGGCGTATCGAAGCTAGGTGCCTGCCTGCAATGATTAAATAGATAAGCCCTGGTTAATTACACTCTAGTTTCCTTCGCCCTTCTCACGTTTGATATATATCCCTTGTAGTAAAGGATCATTCCTTCCACCTCTATTGAAACTAACTCTTCCTAATGTCACTATTGATAATTTATAAATATTTTTCACTCATGATACTGCTATCCTGTAGATTTATCCCTCAATACTGGAAGAGTAAAGATTTAAAGAATTTATCCGTCACCAAGCAACAAGAAATAGATGAACTTAATACAGATGTCTTAGAAAAACTTTCAGACAAAAATCTTTTCTCTCAAGGAGAGGCTCCTGATGGCCGTGTGTGTATAAAGATTGGACTGGTACGAGTCGAGTTGAACTAACGTTGATTTAAACTAGACAGCTAAACTGTTCTCCAAGAGGTTCAGTAAGAGTCATCTCTTATTGATCCACTGTTACTACAGGAGGAAACCTAAACTAAACAATCTTTATTTATACTGGATATCTCTATCAGTTCTATACTGTTCTCCCTAGAGATCCAGAAAGAGTCATCTCTTGTTGATCGAGTGTTACCACAGAAGGGAACCTAAACTAAACTAACTTTATTTATTTATTTATTTATTTATTTATACTGGATAGCTCTATCAGTTCTAAACTGTTCTCCCTAGAGATCCAGAAAGAGTCATCTCTTGTTGATCGAGTGTTACCACAGAAGAGAACCTAAACTAAACTAACTTTATTTATTTATTTATTTATTTATTTATTTATACTGGATAGCTCTATCAGTTCTGAACTGTTCTCGCTAGAGATCCTGTAAGAGTCCTCTCTTGTAAGAGTCCTCTCTCATTGATCCAATGTTACTACAGGAGAAAACCTAAACTAAAGTAACTTTATTTCCACTGGATAGCTTTCTTATCTCTAAACTACTCTCCATAAAAATCCAGCAAAGACATTCCTGTATTGGCACAGTTTTACCACAAGAGGAAAGTGGAATACCCGAATAAAACCGGCAGAGCTTGATATATGCTCTGTGCTCCGGATTATTGAAATCAAGATTGGAAACTGAAAGCATTCTTCTCACATCTGGCTGAGATGAAATTATAATCAGACAACTGCATATTGCAAAAATGGAAATCTGGTACTAAGGCTGATGCACAGGGACGTCGCGAAGCCATCAACATTGGGGGGGGGGGGG